TTCTTCTTCTTCTTCTTCTTCTTCTTCTTCTTCTTCTTCTTCTTCTTTTTTAAAGATTTATTCATTTTTTATACAGCATTCTGCCTGCATGTGTGCCTACAGGCCAGAAGAGTGTACCAGATCTCATTATAGATGGTTATGAGCCCCCATGTGGTTACTGGGAATTGAACTCAGGACCTGTGAAAGAGCAGCTCTTAACCTCTGAGCCACCTCTCCAGCCCCGGGACCTTGTTTTCTGTGGAAGTGGATTAAGTACATTATGTATTTGTTGCTCACAGCAACAAATGTATTACTGTTTTACAAAGAAAGAAACAGGTTGTAGAAGTTGAATGAATTGCTCAGAGCTAATGAAGGAATCAGGTTTCTAACCTAGGTCTATCTAACTTTAAAGACTTATGCCTTACTTTAAAAAAAAATCATTGTTTTCTTGTGTGTCTGTGTTTGTGTCTGTACACACCACAGCCTCTGTGTGGAGGTCTGAGGATAACTTGAGGGAGACAGTTCTTTCGTATCCTGTGGATCCTGGGAATCAAACGCAGGTAGTCAGACTTAGCTGCAAGTACCTCTAAAGCATCTCGCCAGCCCTGTGCCTTACTCTGAAATGCTTGGTCTGTTGGCATAAAGTGTGGGTGGGAATGTAAATGGCGATAGCTGTATAGAGGAAGCTGCTGTGCATGTTTCTTAAAAATTGAAAAAGTAGAACTACCGTAGGGCCTGCTACACCACTTCTGAACATATATCCAAAGAAAATCCTCATGTGAAGAGACATCTGCACACCTGTGCATTTTGTGATTTATTGTAGCACCATTCACATAGCCAAGACAGGGATCAGGTTAAATGTCCATTTGTGCTGCTAGGGATTAAAGCTGAGGCCTTACACATGCTGAGTAAGCCCTGTCTCTGAGCTACATCTCTCCACAGCTGATGAATAGATTAAGAAAATGTAGTTCATACTCCCATGGAATACGTAAAAGCAAAACCTTGTCATTGTAACATGATAGAAGTAGAGATCTTTATGATAAATGAAATAAGCCAGCCACAGATAAACAGTAGCACTTGATTCCATTTATGAATTCTGAAATAAATGAGTTCGGTAGGAGTAGAGTCAAATGCTGGCTGCCAAACTGGGAGACTAGGAAGGATGAGGACTTGGGAAAGGTTAATCAGTGGGTTTTAGTTGTAGTTTGGAGTAAGACCATCTGGTTGTGGGAATGCTGGGAGGGTGATTACAGAGAATAATTATACAATGTATATTTCAAACATCTAAAGGAAAAGACCTTGAATATTTATACCAGAAATTAGTAATAGATGTTTGCTTTACTTTTTGTTTTTGAGATAGGGTTTTACCCTGTAACCCAGTCTTCTCTGAAATTCACTATATAGTCCAGGTTAGCTTGAATTCTTGGTGATCTTCCTGCTTCAGCCTTTTAAGTGCTAAGATTACAGGCATGAGCCAGCATGCTCTATTTTCATTTATCAGCTAAAAGAAGAATATACTTGGAAGTAATGGGAGCTGAGTTCTTGTCAGACTTACTTGAGAAGAGGAAGTGGGGAAAGGAAGTTGCAAGGCTCTAGTTTTATATGGGATGTTTTACTTGCAGAAGATCTTAAACATAAATTGGACTTGTCCAGATTGGTAGGGTTCTGTCATGTCTGTGTCGAGCTTTGTTCAGATGCATGCTCCAGTCCTTCCCTGCTCTACTTCTTCCCCACTACTCCTGGTCCACAGCCCTTTTCCCTATTAGTTTCTGCTTGAGGTCTTTTAAGGAATCAAACAAAATCAAGTAGAAGATATACAAGGATTTACAAATTCTTAATGGCATTTACATATTCACAATTAAAAAGGTTAGGTAAGATAATCTACTTGAAGTATTTCATGGAAACACTAAGATGAAGGTTCTTTTTGACTATGGCTGTCAACTTTTTTTTTTTTCTCTCACCAGATGTAACAACTTTTTTCAGTGTATTGTGAATGGGCTCAGCCTTTTTCCTGTAGCTATTAAGGTGTTTAATGTTACATAATGATGTATTTATTGTGGGTGTGTGCATGCTGTAGCATGCATATAGAGGTGAGAGGACAACTTTGGTGATGGTTTCTTACCTTCCGCCTTGTTGAGGCAGGGTCTCTCTTTCTGCTGTGCTGTTTTCTCCAGGCCAGCTAACCCATGAGCTTTATCTCTGCTTCCTATTTGTAGAGGCTGGGGTTACAGTTACCACTGCCTCTGGCTTCTTAATGTGGCATCTGGGGTTGGAACTCAGCTCCTCAGACGTACGTTGCAGCTAGCACTTTAACTGTTGAGCCATCTCCCCAGCCCCAGGAATTTTTGGTAACTTTTTTTTTCATTCATTATGTTTCAGAATCTCTGGTATATAATTCTCTCTCTCTCTTTCTGTGTGTGTGTGTGTGTGTGTTCTATACTATAGACCTATGAGTATAAGTTACTTAATATGGGTAAGCCGTAGCTCATTACCCTCATGGCTGCTGGATTATTGTGTAAGCTACTTTGTGAACCCACATGTGTGTTAGGGTTGAGGCTGAGGATTCATAGACTTTTCAGGTATGTGCTAGAGTACATTCTGATATCCTTTGGAGCATCCTTGTGCATGCTTCCTCTAGTATGAGGAGCAGCTCTTCCCATGTTTTGTGTTTCATGCAAAAGAAAAAGTCTGCTCAGTCAAAACTGGCGTCGTTTTGGTTGGTTTTAGACAGGGTCTCACATGACTGCCTGCCTGCATGTCTCCTGAATACTGGGGTTGAAGGTGTGCACCACCACACCCGGCTTGATAGTTTCTTAATATGGACTTTCCAGATTAGTAGGAAGGTCAGCCCATTTCTTCATATTTTTAACTTGCTATTTATATTTCTGTCTGTGTAAATTGTTTTACAACTTTTGCTCATTTTGATTTTGAGTTGTTTTTTTACTGGTTTATAGGATGGCTTTTCCTTTTGTTGTGTATGTTGGGAGATGGGATGGGACAGTAGGGTTTGAGACAGGCTCTAATACTTTGAACAATCCCATGGGGCAATGTGTTTGGTCAGTGCTGTCCATTTCCTCAATCTGAGCCCTGGTTGGCTATTCTGAATCACATCATTTACTTAATGTGGTTCAGTGTAAACATTAATGCAGTTGACCTTATCCTCTTTTTTTAGTGTTCTTTCGAAATAATTATTGTTTCAGTGTTTTCCTCTTTTAGAATCATTGTCTAAACCATTATAAAGAATTGCTAGCAAGTAGTACATAGCAGGTAGAAAAATTCTATGTCCTGTTTTTCTAGCAATCCCCAAGGTGAGACTGGAGACAATCTACATTTGTGGAGTAGATGAGATGAGTACTCAGGATATCTTCTCCTATTTTAAAGAATATCCTCCAGCTCACATTGAGTGGTTGGATGATACCTCCTGTAAGTATACCCAATTTTCCATCTTGTATGCTTTTGTTTGTGATTTTCGGAGAGTTTTTGCTATCTTTGATAGTGAATAATTATAGCCCAAACTGTCTAGGAGAAAAAGATTAACCTGATAATACTTACATAACAGTCACTGTGTTCCAGGAGGGTTTTCTTGGGGCAGGTCTTACTCTAGCCCAGTCTGTCCTGTCCTCCCACTGGGAATTCTCTCGTCTGTGTCTGCCAGCTGCTGGGATTTTAAGTGTGTGCTGCCACATTTGGCTCCAGGCAGTTCATATGCATAGAACAGTTATTTTGTGGAATTGGGCTTCAGGGTGTAGCTCTCTCTATATAACATTCATCAGACATTTTACCACCACTTTTATACTTTTTTTCATGAGCTGGTTTTTATAATGACTATAGTCTGTAGCCAGTGTGGCTGTGGCAATGAACCTGATGTCAAATCTGCTCTCAAAAACTTACGCTTGGATGTGGGTGACACTTTGTTTATTTTAGGTAATGTGGTTTGGCTGGATGAGATGACAGCCACTCGAGCTCTCATCAATATGAGCTCTCTGCCAGCCCAGGATAAGATAAGAAACAGAGATACCAGTGAAGACAAGTCATCTGAGAAAAACAAGAAAGGTAACTACACGCAGAGAGGGCTCTCGCCCGTTCTGCACATTGTTGTTCTAGGCCTTTGAGTAGAACATTATGAACAATGCATCACCAGATGCTTCTGAGGTAAATTATGATGCTTGGGTTTATCAGCCAATAGGAACAGGAAACACTGGGCTTTTTAAATTTTATGAGATGGGGTTACATTAAGGTTCCTCTTATCCCTCACACTCCATTTTAGACAAGCAGGAAGCCAGTTCAGATGACGACGAGACTGAAGAAGGAGAAGTTGAAGATGAGAATTCAAGTGATGTAGAGGTTAGTAATAGGGCAAAGACATCTGTAAGGTTTTATGGAAAAAAAGTGCTTACTGTCTTTTGAAATAAGACTAAAGACTTAGTGAGCTGTGTTCTCTGTCTAGCTTTTACCATGGAACCTTCTGAAGGTGTACCAGAATCTTAGCCTTTTCGTTTGTATGGCTGTAGCAGTTCATCTTGGAATCCTAGACTAGTGTTTATACTTGCGCAGAAGAAAAAAATGGGTTTATTAAGAAATACTTTGAAGAATTACCTAACCAATAAAATATGAAAAAGCAAGTAGGGGCTGTTAGAAGAATCTTTTGTGTGTGTGGTGCTATGACAACCCAGGACCTTGGACATGCTGGGCAAGTGCTGCGCCTCTGGTTTGTGTCCCCAGCTGAGTATATTCATTTCAAGTTTAAATATTTAAATGATACGTGTTTACTATATGCAAAATTCTGGAAACATACTAAAAATACAAAGTTTTTAAAAAGCCTTTCCCTCACTGGAGGCTCCATTTTGGAGGGGAAGGCAGATACACTGTTGCATGTTGTCAGGAAGAAGTTAAGGGTGTAGGGAGAGAATGAGGACTGCAGGGATGGTACACATACTGTGCTTGCAGAAGACCTGAGTTGGATTTCCAGTACCAATGTGGGGTGACTCACAGCTGCCTGTAATACCCATACTCATGTGCACATAACCCCACGCAGACACATGTGTGTGCGTGTAATTTTAAAAATGGTTATAATGAAGCAGGTAGAGAATGATGTTAGTCAGAGAAGACCTGGCGTCAGAAGTCTCCTGAGGAATGAGTGTAGCAACACTGATGGTGTAAAAGGTAGAGTGCGTCTTACTGGTTTACAGAAAATATGAAGAAAAAAAAAAGCCTGAATTTTAATACTGAAAATGTTTTCTTTTTCCTCTTAAGTTGGAGACGTTGTCTCAGGTAGAAGAAGAGTCTCTGTTAAGAAATGATCTTCGTCCAGCTAACAAACTTGCTAAAGGAAATAGACTATTCATGAGATTCGCTACAAAAGGTAAATTTGGTATTGATTTTTGGTCAGAATGATGAATTACTGAGTGAAACTTTCCTGTTGACTAGAAGTTAGCTCCAGTATTCCCAAAGCTCCTTTTAAACAAATACTTTTTTGAAAAAGTATCTTACTAACCGAGAAGGAATATTCTTTTACGTATGTATTTGTTAATATATGTTTTTTTCATTGTTCCATTTGCACACATACTTGTGATGTGCTTGGGTCCCATTTTATCCTCTTTACTTCCTGTTCATACTTTCCCTCACTTTCCCTTTTTACCTTTACTGTTACTTAACTTGAAATTCCACGTAGAAAAATGGACAGGGTACTTTGTGAGTCTTTTATTTGTTTGCTTGTTTGTTTTTCAAAACAGGGTTTCTCTGTGTAGCCCTGGCTGTCCTGGAATAGGCTTTGTAAACCAGGCTGTCCTGGAACTCAGGACCTGTCTCTGCCTCCCAAGTGTTGGGATTAAATGTGTGAGCTACTATAACTGGCTGGAGACTTGTCTTTAAGAAGGAAGTTTTATTAAAGTAGGAGATTTGTAGGAGCTATAGGTGGCTGGGCCAGAATGGCGCTGACAGTGCTCAGGTGTCCTCTAACATGCAGAACCTACCACTGACGTGCTGCTGTGGATGAAGCAGGGGTGCACTGATCTGATCAGGACTTCACCCCAAAAATACCACCATGTCTGTGGCAATATTGCTGGCTTTGAGATGCGTAAGATTCCGTGGGCACACACTGAGTCTGCCACTGTGTCCATCCTGGTCAGCGCAGGCAACAAAGTCATGGCCAGCACTAAAGGTGTTCTTTCAGTTCCACTGTCATCCCACTTGAACGCACCTGGAATCAGTCACTGGACCAGGGATTCTCACCAAGGCCAGCATCTAGCAGGGCTGGTATAAGTCTGGTCTTGCAGAAACTCCTCCTGAGCCAAAGCTATGTGTGTGTCACCTTTGGCTTGGTATCTTTGGGTTGCTTTCAGGTGAGATGAAGCTGAACATCCGAGACACCTCGGTGTAGTAGCCAGTGAATGCCAAGGATCCCCTTTGTCCCACTGGGAGAGCCCATTATCTACCATGTCTCATACTTCTTGTCATAGAGGATACTCAACCTTCACTAATGTAGTAATTACTAGTAAGCCAGCAATTTGTGCCCAATAACAGATGAGCCCTGCAGTGCTGTGCTTGGACTGCCACAGCTTCCTAGGGAACAGGAGCACATGGTGGGAGCCCATTGGTGATAGTCGTATCAGTGTTGCCACCCGTGGGTCTACCATAGTGTCTCCTGAAGGTAGCTTTGCTGTCCTATCTCCACATGCTTTCCATGCCCCTATATTCCAGCAGAAGAAATATGCTTGCCAATATCTTGCCTCAGTAGAAGATGACACTGTATGTCCCAATTTGGGATAGTGCCATGAGGTTACTGCGGGGTCTTTTGGGGTTGTTGGAATGGGTTATTGCAAGTAATGTTTTGATAACCACGGATGTGCAGATATCTCTATAGTAACTAATATTGATTCCTTGTGGTCCATATGGTCTTTTCCATATGGTCTTTTTATTGCTACATTGCAATAAGGTCAACCCTGGGCTATTTGAGAACCTGCCTCAAAAAAGCAAACATCCAAAATTAAGCAGTCAATATTATCTTCACACTCACATGAAACCCTAAGTAACTGTTCTATTAACTTTCAGATGACAAAAAGGAACTTGGAGCAGCCAGAAGAAGTCAGTATTACATGAAATATGGAAATCCAAATTATGGAGGCATGAAAGGAATTCTTAGCAATTCATGGTGAGTCCAAAACCTTCAAATATGATGGCTGTTTGTCTATATTAATGTTTTTATTAGCATATAATTATTGTATGTAGTAGACTTCATTATGGCATCAGTGTGTATGTATATAATGCACTTTGATAGTTTGATCTTGGCCTCTGCTATCCCCATCCACTCTTCTTCCAACTAGCTCCCTTCTACTTTGATGTCTATCTTGTGTGAGTAAGTGACCTATTGAGTTTCATTAGAACTTTTTACAGCAGCATGGGTACCTTACCAGTAGTCACTGAAGAAAATCTCTCTCTCTCTCCACACTCAAGTACAAATTGCATTTAAATGGTGGGGCCCTGTGAGTCCCTCCCCATTCCATAACAGGAGTTGATGATCTCAACCTTGTCTATATTTGATACCGGTAATAATCACAGCTGAGTTCAAGAGTGCTGCAATTGTGTCCTATCCAGGAAGTTGGTATTCCATCCCACTTCACCCTTCTCCAGCTTGACTTCTTTCTGGCCCTTCTGCAGCATTTCTTGAGATCTGGAAGGGGCAACACCAATGTCCCCCTTATGGTCAGGCATGTGAGAGTCTTTTATTCTCAGCACTTTGTCAGTTTCAAGTCTCTGTCTTCACTGGTGATCACTGCAAAATGTTTTGTTTTGGTTTTAGTTTTTTGAATCAGTGTCTCATGTAAACCAGGCAAGTCTCAAACTCTTCTGTAGGCAGGCAGGACCTTGGATTCCTGATCCTCTTGCCTCCACCTCCCAAATGCTGGGATTACAGACATGTGCCACCAAGCATAGCTTAAAAATGCAATAATTTGAACACTATTTTAGTTGCTTTTCATCCTTCAGTTGATATTCTGTGGTGGAATGTCAGAACCTCCTGTGGACTAGAGAACAGTGAGGGCAGAACTGTGGCAAATGGTAGGAAAACACTGCTTTGGCATCTACCACTGTGCCATTGTGGAGCTGGAATGAAGTGAATTTCAGCATCCTTTCTATTGGTTTCTGATGGTGTGCTTATTTTGGCAATATTGCAGGAAGCGAAGATATCATTCCCGTCGCATTCAGCGGGATGTGATCAAGAAGAGAGCCCTGATTGGGGATGACGTTGGCTTGACGTCGTATAAACACCGACATTCCGGTAGTTGCCTGCTCAGCTCTTGGGTAGACACACATGTGTTTGGCTCTCAAAATTGTAATTTTATTCTTAACACAGTCTTTTAAGGTTCCAAACTTTATTATCCTCTCTTCCTTGCCCCCACCCTCTGCAAACATAAAGGAAAGTAAGTCAAGTCATGGTTTTAAATAGCCCATGCAAGAGATCACATGATTATAAAACTGTTCTAACAAAAAAGACCATATGTTACAAAAAGAAAACTAAAATAAAAATTTCTTAGGATCTTAATTTTTCTACTATTAATATCAACAACTGCACAAAAACAACTTTATCAAGCAGATTGACTTTGTTTTCCATTTTCCGATAATGTAACTAGGCTGCTGTGTTGAGTGTTTTTACACATTGGTTTTTGCATATGAATGCTGCCAAAACATTATGACTTGAGGCTTTTTTCTTTCTCTCTTTTTTTTTCTTTTCTTTTATTCTTTCTCTCTTTCTTCTATGTTTAATAGAAAGGAACCATTTCATTATGCTGTCTAAAAAATTGAATTTTATTTTGCTATGTACAGTCTTCAACTTCATAGAACTAAATAAGTCAGCATACAGATAAAATAGGCATGCACAGTTGTCGGTGTCATTGGGATGAGACAGGAAGAGGTGGAGTGTATGTTTTTAGGTAATGGATGTGTACCATCTTTGAAATCTGCATGTTAGTAATACACATTTTCTGTTATACTTTACCAGTTTCAGTTACTTTAAGTATATTGTCAGCTGGTTGTGTGCTGCACACCTTTAGTCCTAGCACTCGGGAGACAGAGGCCAGTGGATCTCTGAGTTCCAGGCCAGCCTGGCCTACAGAGGCAACATAGAGAAACCCTCTCTTGAATAACAAACAAACAAAAGAAAAGTAAATTACCCCTAATTCAACTATCCTAATACAGTAACTGATTTCATTTTACATATATCTCATTTGTCTACTTCATAAATTTATAATTATTGTAAATGTATACTGTATATTTTCCCATTTACTGAAAGCATTCTTTCATATTAATAAAAATATTTCATGTTCATAAAAATATTTAAAATATTTTTAAATTAGATGTGGGTGGGGGAGGTGTTGGTTTGTGTAGTGTCTGTGGAGGCCAGAAGAGGGTGTCAGATTCCTTTGGAGCTAGAGTTATAGGCCATTGATTCTGGTTCTCTGCAAGTGGAGTATGCACTCTTAACCACTGAGCCATCTCTCTAGCCCTGTAGCCCATACGTTTAGAATTAATGTTGATTTTTATTATTCAGAACTATCATATGGTATAAAATTACACTGAACATTGAATTAGTGAATTTTGAACCATACAAAACATCTGGTTACACTGTTTGCATAAACTGATCAGTATGTAACCTTGTTGTGCCCATTTTTCTGTTTAAAAGATAGTTGATTTAATATGTACTGTTAATTGATTGATCTTGAATTTCTAGCTGACAGCCTGTAACTCGTGCCTGAATAAGGCTTACACTTATTTTGTATAGGTATAAAAGGATGAGGACACCACCACCTTTTCATGTCAGACATTGCATTTAATGGGACCTTTTTTTTTTTTTTCTTTTTGAGACAGCGTCTTTCTCTGTAAGGCTGGTGTCCTGGAACACACCATTAGACCAGGCTTTCCTTGAACTCTCAGAGATCCACCAGCCTCTGCTTCTCAGTGTTGGGATCAAAGGCATACACCAGCACACCTAGCTTAGGGACCATTTTTAAACAGTAAAATTAGCAAATGAAAGCACACACCACACATACACACACACACACACACACACACACACACACACACACACACGCAAATGTGAAAACACAGCAGTTAACAGATTGAAAAGGACCTTGCTTACAGTATAAGTAAAGAGTAAGAAGGTGGGGTTGCTGTGACCTTAGCCACTCAGTTTTCTGTTGTATGTATGTGTCTTCAAATGTTTGTGACAGTGCCTTAAGTGTTGGTTTAGGAGTTACAAGTAAATCTGACAGCTCTATAAATATAGGAACAGCATCCAGGTGGACACTTTATAGACAGTGCTCCAGTACAGGCTCAGAGATGACGTTCTTTCCTTCTATCGATATGAAGTAGAAAATTATACTTGTTAGTTTAGCTTTAAGTTTAGTACTAACCTTCTGGGTTAAATTTCTTCAGGATTAGTGAACGTTCCTGAGGAGCCCATTGAGGAAGAGGAAGAAGAGGAGGAGGAAGAGGACCAGGCCATGGATGCAGATGACAGGGTGGTGCTGGAGTACCATGAGGAGCTCCCCACTCTCAAGCAGCCCCGTGAGCGCAGCACGTCTAGGCGGTCCAGTGCAAGCAGCTCAGACTCAGATGACATGGACTATGATCTGGAATTGAAAATGATTTCCACTCCCTCCCCAAAGAAAAGCATGAAAATGACCATGTATGCAGATGAAGTGGAATCTCAGTTGAAAAGTATTAGGTAAAATACTTTTACTCTTTTTAATCAATGTTAACTTTTTTTTTTTTTTGGTTTTCAAGACAGGGTTTTTTGGTGTAGCCTTGGCTATCCTGAACTTGCTTTGTGGGCTGGCCTCAAATTCACAACGACACACTTGCCTGCCTTTGCTTTCCTGAGAGCTGGGGTTACAGGTGTGCACCACTGCATCTGGCTAAAATATCTTCCTCCCTTCCTGTGTATATGAGGGAGTAGGATCCCCTGGAACTGGAGTCAAGTCACAGACAGTTGTGACCCGCCGAGTGGGATGCTGGGAATTGAACCCAGGTCCTCTGGAAAAGGAGCCAATGTCCTAGTGGCTGAGCCATCTGTCGAGCTGCAAATTTTATTTATTTATTATTTATACAGTATTCTAACTGCATATGTGTCTGCAGGCCAGAAGAGGGCATTATAGATGGTTATGAGCCATCATGTAGTTGCTGGGAATTGAACTCAGGACCTTTGGAAGAACAGCCAGTACTATTAATCTCTCAGCCATGCCTCCAGACCTCAGTATTAAGTTTAAATTTACTTCTTTATTTATTTTGTAAATACTGAGGATTCAACTCACGAGGACCTCTTGTGTACATACTAGGCAAGCGAGCACTCTCCCACTGAGATATATTCGTACTCTGTAATTTGATTTTCTTTTTTAAGACAGTATTTTTTTGTGTAGTACTAGCTGTCCTGGAACTTGTTCTGTAGACCAGGCTGGCCTCGAACTCACAGAGATCTGCCTGCCTCTGCCTCCCAGATGCTGGGATGAAAGTTGTGTACCACCATTGCTAGCTTTGATTTTCTTTTTCTTTTTTTTTTTTTTTTAAATATTTCTTTTTATTTTATATGTATGAGTGTTTTGCCCGAATGAATGTCTTTGTGCCATATTCATGTAGTGCCCTTAAAGGTCAGGAAAGGCCACCAGATTCCCTGGACCTGGAGTTACAGATAGTTGTAAGTTGCTGTGTAGATGCAGAGATTCAAACTCTGGTCCTCTGGAAGAGCAGCCAGTGTGCTCTTAACTCCTGAGCCTGTATTCAGCGCCTGTGCTTCAATTTTTAAGTGGTAATTTCAAATGAAATTCCTCTTCCTGTTGCAATTTTTACCCTAATTTTCATTCCTCTGTGGGTGTTTGATAGAAGTATCCAGTTTTTCTCTATATAAGCAATAGTTGTTGGATAGACAGTATAGAAAGTGAAAACTACTTATATTTCCAGACATTTGTTATTTTTCCACCATATGTAGTGCATTGTTTGATACTGTCACCATTTATTTAACTACTTATAGAAATTCCTTAAAAATTTCACACTCAAGTGTGTGCCTGTGTGCTCATCTATGTGTGCCTCTGCCACAGTGCATGTGTGGAAGTCAGAGGAGAATTTGTGGAGTTGGTTCTCTTCTTCTGCATGTTGGTTCTGAGTATTGAAAACAAGTGGTCAGGCTTGGAAGCAAGTATTCTTACCTGCAGAGCTGTCTTGCTGGCTCGTTTTTAAATTTTTATTATTATTATTTTTAATTGGGTGTCACTGCCTAGCCCAGGCTGGCTTTCGTTTTCATTCTTCCCCAGCCTCCACACCTAATCCCTTTTGATAGTTTCTGACATTTCTATTAGTATTGCCCTAGCTAAATAGATTTTTTTGAAGTTTGCCTTGCTATAGAAAATAATCCACGTGTTTAAAATTCTGTATGTGTTACTAGATTCTTTTGTAGGTCTTTACCCACATGAACCTGTGACTCATACCCTCTCCAGGCTTAGATGCTACTGTTTGTCTTTGTGAACAAAGAACATAGTTAATGAGCCGTTTCAGTAAGCATAGATTTTATTTAAGATCTTTGAGAATTGGAGACAGGTCTCACTAGACCAGCTTAGCTAGATGTAAATGTGGGTGTTGCGCATGCAGGATGTGAGCGCCCTGCACCCTGCCTCAGTCTCCCAGGTAGCTGCAGGCCTGGTGTCTTTCTGAAGTACCCTCCCGATAGCAAGGAAAGAGGCTTTTAGTGTTGGCCTGGGTAGCCTCGTTCACACCTTTGTGTTTAGTTTTCATAGAACTGATAGAAAATTCAGGCGGATTAGTACTGTCTACTGTGGTAGGAGGGTGTGGTCTGTAGCAGCGGTTATCAGCTTTAGAGAAAGGGACTGTAGACGTGCTGTGTCTGGGCCACATACAGGTGGCACCTGGTAAGCAGGCGGTTAGCCTCTTCGAAAGTGTCTGCTTAATGTTTGTTTGCCCTTGGAGAAGGGATCACCAGTTATGTGTTCTGTGGTAAAGTGTACAGGCATCAGGTGGAAATCACCTGTGAAAGTCAGCACCTGTCTCCATCACCATCTCTTCCAGCGGGCTGACCCTCTTTAAACCGAGTTACTCTGAAGTATGTGACTTGTCTTGTAGTTGAAGTTGGCTACTTGTGCTCTCCCTACTTTTTGTTTCCCTTAAAGGAATTCCATGAGGGCAGATAGTATATCCACAAGCAATATAAAAAACCGAATTGGTAACAAATTGCCTCCTGAGAAATTCTCAGATGTCCGTCACCTCTTAGATGAAAAGCGGCAGCACTCCTGTTCACGGCCAGCAGTGGGCAGTACTAAACCAGGTAGGTACTGTTTTCCTTTGTGCACCTGGCTTCCTTCTTATAAGCCCCTGGAGTGATCAGGCCCTATCCCCAGGCTACTCTAAGGTTTCCAGGCCTTGGAGATGCAAGCAGCAAGCGCTCTATACTAGAGAGGGAAACAAAGCCTAAAATCCCCGGCCACCCTAGAAATCCCCTTCCCCACCCGCCAGCCCGTGAAAACCTACCTAGAAATCCTGCCTCCTGCTCAGTTCTTTGCTGCTTCAAGCTCTCCCAAGCAGAGGCAGCCACCCTCCTGTGCCTTTCCCAGCGAATCTCTTGGGTAAGTTTGCTGTGCAGTGTGGCTTTTTGATACTCATTGGCTCCGGACTGCCAGGATACTCTTCCCCTCAGAGTTCTAACACTCAGACTTCTGAGGTGGGCCTTTAATCCCAGCACTCAGAGAAGCAGAGGCAGGTGAATTGCTGTGAATTCAAAGCCATCCTGGCCTACAAATTGAGCCCAGGACAGCCAGCCAAAGCTACATAAAGAAAAAAACAACAAAAAACAAAACCAAACCCACTTACACTTCTGAACACCTCAGAGCTGGTAGGCTCAGGGTAGGCTCGACTGAACTGATTTAATTGTTGTTGTATCTAAATTTTTAGTTAGGCATTGGAGTTCAGGAGAGATTAAATAAAATCAGACTTTGGCAAAACTAGCTTTCAGTATTTTTTTTTTTGAAATAATATCAAATACTGAATAATAATAAATGAATAATATTATTTCCCTAGGATATTTTATACCCCAAACCAAAAAAGTTAAGTTGGGTGATTAGAGACATGGCTGAGTGTGAGCTAGATTGTGTGTGAGCAAGCCCTGATAGAGCATTGAGGGTGTGCCTGTGGCTAGGCCTGCATGTGCCAGTCTGTGGGAAGACGGCAGTAGCTGCCACAGACCTGCTGAGAGAATTGGGGCAGCCTTCTGGAGAAAGTAGCTTAGAGCTTAGTCTTGGGAGCACACAGAACACAGCTGGCAAACTATCTTTTGAGGTGGGAAGTAATCTGATTCTTATTTTTAAAAGATGATTTTGAAGGAATGGAATGTAGTAGGCAGAGAAAACAAAGTAACAAGCGATGAACTTGGACAGCAAAGACAGAAGGTGAGAATGGAACCTTGGGAGGAGGAAGGACGGAAGACCAGCCATCCTGATGGAGGCTCAGCCTGAGCTGAATGTCCACAGGCTCAAGGCTCAAGGCTGATGAACATGTGGCTCTTGCTACTGCTGTTTGTGAGTGGAGACCTCAGGCCCGGGAGCTTTGTACCAGGCTCGGAAGACAAAAACACTTAGTTTAGGACATGGGTCCTTTATTCTTGGCCTGTTGCCAATCTCATTATTACTTATTGGTTAAATGTAGTATGTTTATTGAAAACTACTTGTATATTTAAAAAAACGTGGCTTCTACCCTCAGCGAGCTTGCAGTAGTGTTAACTGAAAATTTTGGTATGTTATTTAGTTTTGCTTTGTTATGCCAAAAAAAGAAAATAAGGAAGAAAGAAAACTTTTGCTCAAGCAATCAGCTGAGATTCTCTGCATCTGAATTTTCATGTTTTTCTAAGAGAAGCAAAACCAATTATGAACAAAACAGTGTTTTAGAAGCCATCTTGTACCAGGTCCTCTTCCTTCACTCTGGAGGATTTGGAATTAGAGAGCTCTCTAAAGGTGCTGGGGTTTGTTTGTTTTGAGACAGGGTTTCTCTGTGTAGCCCCAGCTGTCCTAGAACTCGTTCTGTAGACCAGGCTGGGCTCAAGCCCACAGAGTGCGCCTACCTCTGCCTTCCAAATGCTGGGATTAGAGTCGTGTACCACCACCTTTCGATGCCTGGCTGCTGTCGAGTTTTTTATCATTGTGAAACAAGCTAGAGGCATTTTGGAAGAGGGAGTCACAACTGAGAAAATGCCCCTGCTGCATTAGCTTGTGGACAAGCCTCTGGTGCATTTTCTTGTTTGATAGTTGATGTGGGAGGGCCCAGTTCACTGTGGGCAGTGCTATTCCTGGGCTGGTAGTCTTGGGTGCAGTAAGAAAGCAGGCTGAGCAAGCCAAAAGGAGCAAGCCATTAAGCAGCATTCCTCCAGGGCCTCTGCATCAGCTCCTGTCTCCAGGTTCTTACCCTGCTCGAGTTCCTGTCCTCAATGCTTTTGATGGTGAACTATTATATAGAAGGTGAGTGAAATAAACCCTTCCTCCCCAAGTTGCTTTTGGTCAGGGTATTTATCACAGGAATAGAAACTATGGCTAAGACAAAAGCTTGGGTTGTTGGTACTGATGGTAAAACATATGCTTGGTAACAGGTATACTGTTTCTTTTTTTCAGATATTCGCCAGCGGTTAGGAAAAAGACCGTATTCTCCAGAAAAGGCTTTTAGTAGTAACCAGGTGGTTCGGAGAGAGCCCTCTTCGGATGTACATAGTAGGCTAGGTGTTCCCAGGCAAGATGTTAAAGGCCTCTACTCTGATACTCGGGAAAGGAAATCAGGTGGGCAGCACTTCGCATTGGTGGATGGGAAGGAGTGGTGAGCAGTGGGGTAGCATAAGAAGGAGAGTCAGAGCTTGCTCTTCAGTGGTCATAACTGCCTTCATTGGCATCACACATCACCATGCCTGTCAGAAAGGTCAGAAAGGAGCTACACACCCTTGCTTTAATTGCCACATAGTGTGTCTATGCTACCACTTTCTAAACACACCTTCCTTTATTATTAGATTTTAATAAAACACTCATTTTTTGAGATTTATTTTCTATTTCCTTTTGTGAGATTTATCTTATGTGTTTTGCCTGTATGTTTGTCTGTGTACATGTACATGTCTGGTGCTGTTAGAGGTTTGGAAGAGGGCGTTGGATCCCCTGGAACTGTTGTAAGGTGCCATGTGGGTATTGGAAAGCTAACTAGGTTCTCTGCAATAACAGTGCTTTTAACCGCTAAGCCATCTCTTCAGCCCAATAAAACACTCTTTAAAAATAGTCAGCTGTTCCAACCAAGGACTATGCATGGACATAACCTAAGACCCCTGCACAGATGTAGCCCATGGCAGTTCAGTAGCCAAGTGGGTTCCACTGTAATAGGAACAGGGACTGTCCCTGACATGAACTGATTGGCCTGCTCTTTAATTACCTCCCCCTGAGGGGGAAGCAGCATTACCAGGCCACAGAAGAGGACAAGGCAGCCACTCCTGATGAGACCTAATTGACTAGGATCAGAAGGAAGGAAAAGGGGTCCTCCCCTATCAGTGGACTTAGGGAGGGGTATGCATGCAGAGGGTGGAGGAAGGGAGGGATTGGGATGGGAGGAGGGAGGGAACCACGGGGGGGGGGATACAAAGTGAGTAAAGTGTAATTAATAAAGAAAAATAAAATTTAAAAAAATTAATAGTCAGCTGAAACACTAAGATCATTCATAGTAAAATAAACCTTTCAGCTTGAAGAATGTTAGAGCTGCCAGTTTCTTGGCAGATTGAGGTGGTACACACATGGGGCATGATGCCTCTTACCTGGGAGAGAAGCAGGTGTGGCAGGAGAATCTCCAGGTGATTACCCTGGAGATTACCTATGCCAGGTGTGGGGACACCTGCTTTGAGCTGTGAGCCTCTCCATTGTGTCTCATGCTGTCTACTCGAAGACTAGTGGCAAGTGCCTCTGCCGATATTCCCTGCATGGCAGGTATTGGCTTGCAGCTCTCTCCTCAGAACTACCTGGTGCTCAGCCTTGACTGCCAGACTGAAGTGTCTTCTCACCCCACAGGTGGTTTATGGACTCGCTTAGGATCTACAACCAAGACCAAAGAAAAGAATACAAAGAAAGTGGATCACAGGGCATCTGGCGCTGAGGAAGATGACTCGGAGCTTCAGAGGGCATGGGGTGCTCTGATTAAGGAAAAAGAACAGTCTCGCCAGAAGAAGAGCCGGCTAGATAGCTTGCCATCGCTTCAGATTGAAGTCAGCCGGGAAAGTAGCTCTGGTTCCGAGGCAGAGTCCTGATGCCCCTGGCTTTGGCAGCTGCCCTCATATCTGACATTCTTATGTAGGGTAGGGCGGACAGTAGGGGCCTTCCTCGCCAGAGCTGGCACCCTTCCCTTGTACCTGCGCCCTGAACACTTGCTGTCCCAATAGACAGCTTCAGAGTGTGATGCGTTTTGAAGGGTGTCTCTGTCTTGTGCTGCAGAGTTTTAGTTCTGGACCCCCAAGTCTTTCTCCCACACCCTGCAAGCTTTACCCTTGGAGAAAAAGGCAACCCTCCAGATTTTGTAGACATTTTCTTAATATTTTTAACATTGTCTTTTAAAAAAAATGTTTTACACAGTTCATCCAAAGAGCAGAGAACTGAACTTCTCACTGTTGCCTTGGCCCTGACAGCTCTTGCCAGCACCCATTCCCAAGAAAAGTCAGTTCCCAGGTGCTTATTGGACAGTCTTTGAGGGGGAAAATGAGGGAAGCTGCCAGCTTGGCCTTCCAGGACTTTAGTGTTGGGGCTGAGTTTTACAGGCCTGGCCTGAGATGTGTCCATCCTCTCAGGTAGATAGAACGGAGCAATCAGCAGTGGCTTCCAGTCCTCCCTAGAGGATTTCTGTTAGGTCCTCTTCCTGGCTGTCAGCCTCATGTGAAGATCAAGTTCAGTGCTGTGGGACTTCTAGGGACAAACAACTGTGACTTATGGATTTGGAATTGATTTCTGTGCTTAGGGGTGGGGTCTTGGGTTGATGTTGAACAATTTTTAAGTCTGTATTATGTTTAAAAACTATTAATGACTTAAAAGTTTAAATTTTTAATTTTTATATGTGGATATTCCTCCTGTTGGCTACAGGGAAAGCTCAAGTGGTGTCTTTTGTGTTGTTAAATATACATTATATACTTTGGAAGAAGGCAAAGAGAGGAGTCTGATTATTTTGAGTGATACTAATTGTATGGTCTGTTATATTTGAATTCAATTGCTTTTTGGCCAGGAAAAAACTGCTATCTATCTGTCATGGGTTCTTGTTCATTACTACTTTTCTAGAAGTAATACCTTGATAATTCATTCTTTCTGTCAATGACTTCTCAATGAAGACTTACTCAAAAGTAGCAAATAAGATAATAGTTTCAGAAATTTTAGTTTATTTTTAATCTCCTTTCAAATTATTTTACCATGGGAAGGCAGTAGGTTATTTGGCTTCTCATCTGACTTTTACTTTGCAGTATTTAATACTGTATTTCTCTACAGGCTTAAAAGTGGTGATTCATTTGAGCACATTAGAATCTTGGAGATAGTGCTGAGCCTCTATCCCTTTTGGAAGTCAGATTCTTCACCTGCCCTGGATTGTCCTGTACACAGTGGATCACAGAGGACTTCACTTGTGGTGGAGTGCGTGTCTCTTGATGGCTGACTACACTGTGAATGAGCAGTGTTGCAAGTAAAGAAGCAGAAGACTTAAGAGCTGAATTGTAGTAAAACTGTATCATATGTAGTATTTGGTTACCCGCTCTCCCAAAAACGGGAGCATATAACCAAAGTGGTTTGACTTCCAAGGCTCCTAGAAAGAGGTAGTTCTTATTTCTCTGTTAGTTCAGACCTAAGGCCTTCAAGGTTTTTAGTTTCTCTTGCCCTGTGTAACTCACAGTCAGGTTCTTATAGGTTTAGGCTTTGGTAAAGGGCCTGAGAGCAGACTTGGATGCCAGCCAAGGCTCTGGGCAGTGCATGAGCCTTCGAGTCCTCGTGAAGAAAGTAAATAGTCTGGAGCCCGTGTCTAGCCTTTTTTGGTCTCTCGGTGGTGTTTTATTCTTGAAGCTGTGGCTGCATGTTTTCTGTTGAGGTGGCCAAAGTGTCAGGAGATAAGGCAGCATGACTTACCGCATCCTTTTCAGGCTCTGGTTCTGCCAGTGCGTTGAAGATGAGTGTGTGGGTCCCATGTGACATGGCTTCCTCATGGTTTAGACACTCCTCTGCTTTCTTTTTGTTTTTTAGTTGTGACACTTCCCATAAGCAGTTCAGGCCCATTTGCCTAGGGGCCTTTGCATATGTGTCCATCTCCTGCTAGAAATGAGAGGAGGGCTTTATGGAAGATAGGCAGTATGATTTCAAAACTAGCTCCTTGAGCTGACCGTGAAAGATGCCCATTTCAACAGCCTTGCTGTCCTTACAGCACGGCGAGCCCAGAAAGGTATGTACTGCATAAACTGATGGCCTTCCCAGCATCTTTCTCCAGCATTCGGAGCTGCTCAAGTCTTCAATACCTTGAGCCCTGTGACAGTGACAGTGGATAGTGAGAACAGACCAGCAGGTACTGGGGCATATTTTATCCAGGGCACTTTCTGTACATGTGGGGTTAGTCTTCACATGCTGCTTGATAATAATGGCAGAGATTTCATCTTTGTTTCTGACTCTCCCTCTGTAGAGGGGCCAGATAGCCTCTGGCCTAAGTCCATGAATCCTACCCTGCTTCTATCCCCCCTCTGTGAAGCAGACTCTTTTGAGTCTCCCTCTCCACTCTACACATTGTAGCTGGGGAGAATTTTTGCTTAAGAGATTATTTACATAGTATGCATTTCATCCATTTCAGTGCACTGTTGGCTATTTATAGAGTTGTGCAATCATTATCATACATAATCAGTTTTAGACTGTTTTTGTCACCAAAAACATCCTGTCCCCACAAACAATCATCCTTCATTCTTACCTCTCCTCATACCTGGCAACTAATATTTCTGTCCTTATGGATTTGCCTATAGTGGACATTTCATATATGCCATATGCTATGTGTCTGTTTATATAAGGTTCATCCATGAACCATGGTTCATCCATGGTAAATATCATCATTTCAAGTCTTGTGTGTGTGTGTGTGTGTGTGTGTGTGTGTGTGTGTGTGTGTGTTTAGTCAGGTTTTCAATCTGTAGCCCTGGCTACCCTTGAGCTCCCTGTCTAGACCAATATGGCCTTGAATTCACAGATTGTCTTTCTCTGCTTCCCAAGTGCTAGGATTAAAGATGTGTGACACTGTGTCTGCCAGTGATTTTTGTTTTGTTTCAGTTTTTTAAATTGTCTATATATTTACTGTTCATTTCATGGGCATTCTGTGATTTCTAGTTTGAGACTATAAATATTTGTGTGCAATTCCCCTTCATGGACATGTATTTTCATTCTTAAATGTAAGAATGGAATATGTAGGTCGTGTGGTAGCTCTGATCTTTATTTAGTCCTTAGAGGAATTGCCAAGTTGTGTTCCCATGGAATGTATCAGGAATCTGGTTTACCACACTGTCTTCACCAATACTTATTTTCCAGTGTGAAGTGGTGTTTCATTGTGTATGTGCTGTGTTTTATTTTGTTGCAGTGCAGGGGACCAAATCCAGGACCTTGTACATGTAGGCAAGCTCTGTGCCATGGAGCTATATTCCCAGTCCCTGACTTATTCTGAGTGACAGTTTCCTAATGACTGTTGGCCATTATTTCTTCCTCCTTTGTCTTTGTCTTTGTCTTTCTTTGTGTGTGTGTGTGTGTGTGTGTGTGTGTGTGTGTGTGTGTGATTTTGAGACAGGCACATAAGTGTTGGGCATTTTTTTTCAACATAGGATTTCTCTGTGTAGCCCTGGCTGTCCTGGAACTCACTCTGTAGATCAGGCTAGCCTCAGACTTAGAGATCTGCCTGCCTCTGCCTCCTCAGTGCTGGTATTAAAGGCATACACTATCATGCCTGGCTTTGTTGGCTATATTTTCATGTGGTTTGCTTGTTTGTTTCAAGACAGGGTTTCTCTGTGTAGCCTTGGCTGTCCTGGACTCGCTTTATAGACAGACTGGCCTCAAACTCAGAGATCCTCCTGCCTCTTGACTCCCTGAGTGCTGGGATTACAGGTGTATGACACCACGCCGGCTATATTTTCATGTGTAACAAGATTAACTTTAATATCAGTCTGATCTTATTACTATGTTTAAAACCTTTGCAGAACTTTATCATCACTTTGGGAATAAAATTCCAAACTACTTTGATAGCCTATGGAGCTGGTCAGGACATAGGCTCTGGCAGTATCTGTAGACTGTTCTCTTTTCTCCCTTGCTCTTTATCTATTAGTTTCTGTATTCCTCTTGATCTCACTGTCTTTCCAGACTTCACAGAGCATGCCTTCAGGCCCCATCTCTGCCCTGCCTTCTTTATTTCTCTAATGAACAAGGTTTTAAGAGATGCTCCTCAGTACTGGATTTCTTGTGTCTATGTCCTTTTTATTGCCATAAAGGAATCTTAGCTGACTCTGTGGTCAGATTGTAAGTCAATGTCTGAGTTAAAAATTGAATTATCAAAATACTTCTTGGAAATCCCAAGGCAGGTGCCTGCCACATTGAAGACCAACAGCACGAGTTTCTTGCAGTCAGTTCTTGCCTTTTTGGGAAAGGATCACTGTTTCTTTGGTTGGGCGCTAGGTGAAGTAGTTGGGCATGCAGGTAGGACCATGTCATGACAATGCCCTCTTATTTTGGTGTCAGAACCACTCAGTGAGGTCACTTTTAAGAACCTTGGGAACTTGGGCCAAAGGAGCAACAGCCAAAGGACAAAGGCTGTCCAGCTTGTCTGGGCTTGCTGTTGGGAGGGTGGAGCTAGTGTGGCTCCATCACCTTGCAACTGTGGGGTTTTTTTTGTTTTTCGTTTTGCTTTTCAGATAAGTGCTTCATGTTTAATCTTGTAACTCACATAATGCAAACCACATGCCCCCAGCAAACCTCACTGGACTCTCATTTCCTATTCCTGGTTGATATGTTTGCTAAGTTGTACGCTCAGGAGAGCTTGGACCATGTTTGGCTTGTGCATTGGTCTTTTTCCATACTTATTATCATTGTGACCCAGCAGGTCCTCCGTGAACATTTGTGAGAGCATTAACCCCCGGCCAGAACAGCTCTGCCCTCTAGGCCCCGTGCCTTCTACAGGCAGGCCAGTCCTCGGTTTTCTTCCATGTATATGCAATGCTTTGTTCTCATGTTTTGTTCTTGTCCCTTCCAGCCTGTGCGCTCCTAAGGAGCAGGTGTCTTCATGTTGTTTTGTCTGTATCGCTGAGCCAGGCCAGACCACTGTAAGTAGTGCTTCAGAAGTTTTGGGGAAGTGAATGAGTTGTGACAACTCAGCTCGCACACCTTTCTGAGCAGGTGTTTTGATTGTGGCCGAGCCCACCAGATGCAAATGGGAAAGAGTATTCATTGGTGTTTATCATGTATGCAGTAAGGAAGAACTCTTATTAAGTAGGTGTCAGAAAACGTCAGAATTTGATGGTCTGCTGTGTTTGAGCTGGAACTCATCCAGCTCTAGAAAGTTGCTGGGAAATCATTTTGTTTTTCAGGCTCAAGGGTAGTTTTATTAGGGTTTAAAAGAAAAATACCAAGCAGGTTGTAAATCCTAGCAGATGGCAAGGAGAAGGAAACCAAAAAGGTCACACTGCTTAAGTTGAGCTGACTTGGACATCAGCCATGTCATGGTCAGGAATAGGCTTTAGAGAAGGAATAAGAAAGTCCATAGTACCAGGAAGAGCATGCCTGGGTCTGACCAGCATCTGAAAGAAAAAGGATTACAGTTCCTTCACTGTGGTTTCAGAGACTTGTGAGCCAGGATCCAGCTCTAGCCTAGATCCACACAGAGCAGCTATTCCTCTTAGCGTCCCTGAGCCATCTCTCCTGTCCCAAAAATATATTACTCATCTGTCCTAGGGTCGCAGGATAGAGGTGTTAGATAAATAAGAGGCTCCGAAGAGGGACCACTGACCCAGTGTTTAGCTCCTGGTCCTGTTGGGGTGAGTGACAGCAACCCAGAAGAGGAGGCAAGAAGTAACTGCCCGCCAGCAGCTAGTGTTCAACGGGAAAATGCGTTCCTTCCTGCTCTCAAGGTGCTGTCAGTGCTGCAATGCAAGGATGCGCTTCGGGTAGGCAGTGCCAGGTGTTGCTTTAATGGCTATACCAAGAAGTTTGTTTCCTAAGTCTTTGCTTGCAAACCTTGTATAATAAGATGTAACTCAGACCCTGAGCCTTTTCCTCCCTTTTTAAATACAAGAGCTCAAAGAAGAAAATATATTTTTGGTAATTTGAGAATAGTACTTTTGCTTCAAGACAGATTGTAAACTGCATAATGTGACTGCAGCAAATGCCTAGAACTTCTCCTATGTTTATATTGCAGATTTTAGCAGAAAGAGTAATAGTCCCAACTCCTCCGAAACCCTTTAAGCACTTCCCAGAACTTTGATGTTTCTGGAAGCAGTCAGGGAAATGCTGCCCCAGAAGCCTGTTTCAAACGGTCTCTCCTTGTTGCACAAGCCGGCCTGGCCTGGAGCCCTGACTGTTCTAAAGCTCTCAGTCCTACATCGATTTCCCAAACACTGGGATTACATGTTTGCCATGGCACTATAAACTTTTTCTTTAGAAATAATTTCAAAAGCACAGGAGCATCAAGGGTAGAACAAAGACTTTTTTCTATATTTTACCATTCAGCATGCTAAAGCATGTTGTAAAGCATGGAAATGGCCTTTTCCTGTGCTGGTGATGAACTCCAGAGTGTGGATGGTACTCAGTTTACCAAAGTCACTAGCTTGCCCAGGAGTCTCTGTGTAAGCTGTCCCAGAGGCCTCTGAATGCTCAGATTCTTTAGTAGTTGAGACTCTGTGTGACCTCAGACACCTCTATCTCCGGACCAGTGAGAGCAAGAGCCTCACACGATTAACAGAAACAGCCTCGCCCTATCCTAGCGCTGGATCCAGTGACCTGTTCCTTTTCTGCTTACGTACAGAAGTTCTCCTGAGGGCCATGAGCTGTTGGCAGCAACCTCAGCTCAGGTTGAATGTCTTTTTGAGGAAAGGCAAAGAGAGTGATGGCTGGAGCAGAGGTAGGTCTTAGGACTCATTCTCACGTTCACCACTGGAAAATGGAACACATCCCTTCCTCTCTGGGCCTTAGTTCCTTTGTCCATGAAATGGAGGCCTCAAACGAGATGACAAGTGTTTTTCCTGCACACTATGAGCTGAGATGGGAGGGGCTGCTGCTGCTGTGCTCTTCAAGGAGATGTGGTTAGCAAGAGACCTGCCTGATCCCACAGCCAGTGCAGCCTTCTCCCTGCCTACTCGGTCATGAAGGGACCAGAAGGACCAGTGAGATGGCTGAATGGGTAAAGGCTTTCGAGCCTGAGTTTGTTCCCTAGGCTCTACATGACGAAAAGGAGGACTCTGTAGGTTAGCCATTGACCTCCACACATGCACTGACGTGCCCGTGTGCATGCATGCAGGTGCACACAAACATGGTCCAGTCTCTCATTTGAGAACTCTTTGAGGGCGCCTAAGGCGCCAGTTTGCTTAGGCAGCTATGGCAAGATACCCAGAATGGATGGTTTGAACAACAAACATTTATTTTCTCACAGACCTAGAAGCTACAAGTCTAAGAGGGTCCCAGCGTGGAAAGAGTCCTGTCTTTGGCTTGTTTGCATGGCCTTTTTCCTCCATGTGTACCTGTGGACCTTCTCATAGCAATAACCCTGTGCCGTTAGGTCTGGGACCTACCCTTTTGACCTCTTAAACCTAATGACTTACTTCTTCAAAGCCAAGTTTCTAAGTCTAGTCACATTGAGGTTTGGAATTTGAATACAGGAATTTAGAGGTGAATATTGTCCAGCCGTTAGCTCCTGGGAATGCACAGGTGAAGGTCTGTATTTGTGCTTTTTAAATGCTCAAAAACTCATGATCTGAAGAGAAAAGGGTTTTAGTTCAGGGTCATGGTTCTGGAGGAGACAGTCATGTCTGCCTCCCAGTTCAGCAACTTATCCATGTGACCTTGGGCTCAGTCCTTAGCTTCCCTCTGATGTCAGCACCATTAGACATGAGATGACACTACCCTCCGATAAAGGCACTTCTAGGTGGCCTTGGCTCTGCCTGTTCCTGACTCCCTGTGGTCCTCATCTTCAGATGTACTCTTCCCAGCTTCTTGAGGAAAGGCTGGCTGTGATTGGAACCACTTCTGTCTGGAGACTTGGAGGAAAGCCCCCTCCACTGTTGTATGTGTCTCGCTTCCTGCTTGCTTGTGACTCAGGACAGTACCTGGCCTCCTAGTGCACACTTCTCTCTCCCTGAATATGTATCAAACTTCCCTTTGGGGAGCGGTAGGAAGGGGAGACAGCTTGTTACACAATCTGGCCTGGTCTAGATCCCTGACTAGTCTAGAGCTCTCAGTCCTACATCAGCCTCCCAAACACTGGGAGTAGAAGTTTGCCATGGCTCTGTAAACTTTTTCTTCTGAAATAATTTCAAAATCATAGTAGCACTGAAGATAGAACAAAGAACTTTTTTCTCTATATTTTTTACCATTCAGTCTTTTCCCTTGCACCTTTTCCTCATCCCCAAACTACTTGAAGTATTTTGCACTGCATTCCACTTTACCATCACCATGCTTTGTGCTGTGTCCCATAAGATAGTTACCAACTTCAGAAATATGTAGTGTCTGGTCAGTATAGTAATTGCTCATTTGTAGTTCAGGCTTCTGGCTGTTCAGTAATGCTGTTTCAAGCCTTTCTCGCCGCCCCCAATCCAAGATCTAATCTGGCATCAAGTAGTAAACTGCCTTTGTTCGGCACCTGGAGCGTGTCCTCAGCCTTTCTCTTGTCTTTTATGACATAGATGTTTTGGAAGGATATGGTCTAGTTAGTGATACAAGATTGGCATTCAAGTTGACTCCTTGAAGTAAGTATTGGCCGAACTTCCAGCCTAAGACTGGGTGCTGTGAGAGAACAGAAGAGGAGACAGCAGAGCCACTAACATGGGGCCTGAAGCTCTGGTTTGTGAGAGAACATTAGTGTCGGATTGGCTGGGAGGGCCTCTGCAAGTCGTAACTTCTGGCATTGACAGTCTTTGGTGGATGCAGTGGACACGCTAGAGTCCTATAGAGATGCAGAAAATACCCCTGCTCCCTCAGCCATCTGCTCTGTTGGCCTCCTGTGCTGCCTGGGTTCACACTCAACAGTCCTGCTCCTATGTGAGCTGCCATCTTGGGCTCCTGCCCTATCAAAGGTGCGCTTTGTGATGGCAGAGTGCCCCTTTCTTCCTGTGGGCCAGGGCTGGGAGCATCCTTGAGTGACTCTACCTTTGGATTCGGGAGCAGTGATGAGAAGATGGGCTGGCTGCTGGTGCCACTGTGGCTTGTGACAGGTCTGTCCAGCAGCCTTAGGGTGCTCTGGACTATGATGTACGTCATCACACCTGAAACTCTGCTTTTCTAGCTGCTAATGTGTTGTGCAGAGGGAAGTGGTGAATTGTAATCTCTTTTCAAATAATTCCATAAGATCTAGTCAAATGTCAAACCAAAGCTGACAGTGTGGAAACGTCTGAAGTGTCATTGAATCTTCACAGAATTTTGGCTAAATAAGTTTTCCCTGTGAAAAACAAAATAAAATTGATTTTCCTATAGTCATTAAGGCCATGTGGTTGTCTGCTTTATGCCATCACTGTAACACTTCAGGATGCTCTCTTTACATCCATGTAAGAACAAGAGGCTAAATGCCCAGCCTTTCTGAATTAAGGTGAGATTGAGTAAGCTGAAATTAAGTTCCCTCCATGCACTGGCATCATTTTAACTTATTAGTCTCTTGTGGCTGGTAGCTCCAGTTGGACAGTAGGGTGCAGAGTAGCCCATCTTTGCGAAGAGGTCTTAGTACATGGCCCAGGCTGGCCTGGAGCTCAGTCTTCCTGCCCTACACTCCTAAATGCTGGGATTGTGACAGGCCTCCCTGTCCAGAGTTCTGCTGGGCTGTGCTCCCTTCCCTCATTGCTGTGTGGGCCAGCTTGACCATTGAAGCAGTTGGTCTTTAGATATGACCTGTCCCTGTTGGGAGTAGAGTCTCCACAACCTGGGCCGGGTCAGAGCTGTGCTTTAAGCCATGAAGTCTACCTCTTCGGTTAGGCTGGAAGCTTAGACCCCGTGAAGCCGCTATCAGCTTCAGATTTTGAACACAATCAAGCCACAGCTGGATTTGAAGCAATGACTTCAACTAATACTTGGGTCTTCACGCTCACCTGGCCCTCCGCAACCCCAGGCCCAGTTTCAGCTGTGGGGACACTTTCTTGAGGGGTGGGACAACTCAAGATTGAGCTGGGAGTTGATCCCAGGTATTGGGCTGGGGAACATTCTGGATGGGATGGGCTGGAACCCACCTACCTGGATGACTGTTGTCCCTGCACCTCCTGTCTGTCAAAGACACCCAGGACTACCACCAGCCAAATAGTAGCTCACTCTTACATGAAATGGAAGGTCTAGTGAATGATGGAGCTGGGTTGATAATTATCTAAATTGCCAGGATGCAGCCTACAGCTGTGGGGAAAGCCCTGCGCTGGCCTTATGTCAGCTGTGGTGGCCGTGTCTACCTGAAAGTATCTGTGGGTCTGTGGGCCCTTGTCTGTATATGCCTCTGTCCCCGCCTCCTGGCCTTGCCTGCAGAGGAGGGGAAGCTTCTGAGGTCCTGTGCCGCCCCACTCAGCTCAGAGCTGTGTCTGCCTCAGCTATGAAGTGGCTCGTCCACGCCCTTCTCTGCATGGCCAGTAAGTCACCTCTGTCTGCTTGGGCTCAGGTGGGCAGAGAAATGTGGGGGAGGGGCTTCCCCAGGGAAGCAGGCTTGCTGGGAAGGACCTCTTCAGTGCTGGTGGGCACTGGCCTCAGGCTTTAGGGCTCTGCCATCCTCTTTTCCTCCCTATCCAGCCACCCCTCACTCTGCTCCGTGCTCAGCTTTGTGTCTAGTTAGCTCCTAGGGTGTGAAAGCTAATGATGTCTCATGACACCCAGAAGAGGGCCCTTAGAGCAGCAGCTTCTGCTGCTGGGAAGACAGGAGGACTTGTGAAAATGTGGATGTTGGCAGGAGACTGGGGGTGAGACCCCACAGGGGGAACTGCTTCCTGTCCTGTGGTGTGGGGGAGGGGCAGGTATTTCTGCTGCCATGGGGTCCCATTCTGTCTTTAGTTTTGGTTTTTTTGAGACACGGTTTCTCTGTGTAGTCTTGGCTGTCCTGGACTCACTTTATAGATCAGGCTGGTCTCAAACTCACAGAGATCTGCCTGCCTCTGCCTCCCAGTGCTGGGATTATAGGCATGCTCCACTGTGCCTGGCTTCCCATTCTGCCTTTAATCCTGTGTGGGAGCTGTTTTGGACAGACTGTCCTGAGGCCATCTAAAAGGTCTGAAAGACAAGAGACAAGCAGTCTCCTGCTTGGCAGGAGAATAAGGTGGGTATCAGGTACAGAAATATAAAGGCTGGGAGCTGAGTCTGTGAAAGCCAGCTGATGGCAGCCAGTGGCAGTATGAAGAGGCTGAGCTGTCATAGGAGGAGGATGCAGGATGAGCACCCACTATGGAGCACCCAGGAGGCAGGCTAGATCCTGCCCCGGTCACCAGTACAACATGTTTGGGGATAAAGTTTTATATTTTAGAAAGCTTGAGCCAGTGAGGCTCAGCGGGTTAAGGCATTTTCTGCCAAGCCTGATGACCTGACATTCTTCCCAGAGACCTATGTGTTAAAAGGTGAGAACTGACTTCTCTTCTGACCTCTGCATGGTGCTGTGCACACACACATGCTTACACAGATTTTAAGCATTTGAATAGTCACCATGGGAAGATCAAAGCTGGCTGAACTTTCAGTTATTTTGTATCCTAGACTTGTCTTTATTTCTCTTGTCTACAGAGTGGGAAGGGGGGTGGGGTGGGGGAAGGTCTTAACTTTTTTTTTTTTTTTTAAATCAGAGCTCTGATGCTCCGTAATTAAGGCTATCTAGGGAAGATGCTGAGACTAGACTAGTCCACTCTAGGATAGAGGTGACTGAAGCCTACGGACAGACAGACTGAAGGGTGCAGCTGAGGAACAGTGGAGACAGAACCACAGCCGGCCCTCTGTCCTGACTCACAGCTGCAGGTTGCTGCATGACCTGGAATGATGCCCCTTGCCTACCTGTGTTTCCCTCAGCCCTATCAGCACCTCAGCACCTCCTCCAGTGCCTTCCATTCATCGAACCCCTGAGGCCCTGGCACATCCCAAGTTGACATGCGACAAAGAACAAGATGGAGCCAAGCAATAATGTCACAGGCCTTTAACCCCAGCACTTAGGAGGCAGAGACAGGCAGATGTCTGAGTTCCAGGGCAGCCTGGCCTCCAGGGAGAGCTCCAGGACAAGGGCTGCACAGAGACACAGAGAAACCCTGTCAAAAAAAAAAAAAAAAAAAAAAAAAGAAGCAAGATGGGCAGATTCACATTGAGTCCCTGTAGCCTGTGTGTGCCTATGCTATGGGATGGAGGGAGAGCGTGGCCTTGGTATTTGATAGGGGAAATGGGATAACACTGCTCTATACTGTGAACACGAGGTCTTGGTGATAGGCCAGGCCTCAAAACTGAGCCCTGAGGGTTTGGGAGTTAGAAGAAGGCAAGGTGTTACCAAGGAGGTTGTGAATCCAAACTGAGCACAGGCCCGAGTCCTGTGCCTGGCTGGCTTTCTTGGGTTGGGGCCAAGCCACAATTGTTCCTGACCCAGTGGCTCTGCCCTCCCAAGCCATCTACTGTGCTAATGATCTTTTTCTGTTACTCATAGGAGCAAATGAACTAAAGGTTGTCTAAGGAAGGTTCAGAGAGAATGCAGGTATAGATGCATTGAAATCTAGGGCAGCCCAAGCTGCAGACGCCAGCCCCAGTACCCCCCAATGCCATGTAGTCTGTCCCAGATGCATTTGGCCCTGATGCATTCTGTGGCCACAGCAAATCACTTCTGCCTGACTCTCAGAGGTCAAGTTTACTTTTCGTGTGTGAAGAGAAGCATATAGCCAATCTACAGGCTACAGGGCCTTATCCATTTTGCTATGGATCTGTGAAACCTCATGGGTTAAGAGGAAGGAACTAGGGGGCGGGGTTGGGCATTTAGCTCAGTGATAGAGCACTTGCCTAGCGCACAAGGCCCTGGGTTCCGTCCTCAGCTCTGGGAAAAATAAAACATGAAAAATAAAAAATAAAGAGGAAGAAACTAGAGTTCAAGGCCTGCTCTCTTCAGGATACCAAACCAGGCTGAGGCCTGTGGCCCCAATAAGGAAGTCAGGAGGTGGCTGGCCTGGTTCCACCTAGGCCTAGCCTATACTTATGTGCAGATGTGAGAGAAAAATCTTAGTGCTTAGGAGGAGAGATCCTGGTGCCTGAAATATGCCTGGGAGAATGGGAAGGGTCTCAGCAAATAGGTTGATTGGGAAGAAGCTTTCAGAAGCAGCAAGGTCTGGGTATGTGAAGAAGACAGAGAAGTGTAGGCATGGGAACAGAAAGTTCTTCACTCTGATGATGTCCTCCCCATCCCAGACTGGGACCTGCCCCCCCCCCCATGTGATGAGAAAGCAGGCTACACACACTAACTTCCCTAGCCCAGGGAGGACCCATGCACAGAGCCACGGGGCTCAGTGGAGCCAGGGAACAAAGGCAGAAAGGACAAGCCAAATGGAACCTGACATCTCTGACCTCTGGAAAGCTGGATTGAGTGTACGCAGTGTGTGTGCTATGTATAGCGAATGCGTGGGACGTGAGTGGTGCATATAGGGTATTTATGGTCTGTCTGTACCATTATAGACCATATGAAGTACATAGGCTATGTGGTATATTAGCCATGTGGCATGTATGAGGTATATAGATTTTATATGGGGGGCTGGTGATATGGCTCAGAGGTGAAGAGCACTGGCTGCTCTTCCAGAGGTCCTGAGTTCAATTCCCAGCACCCACATGGTGGCCACAACCATCTGTAAAGGGGTCTGAGGCCCTCTTCTGGCCTGCAGGTGTACATGCAGACAGCACTCCTCCATTTAAAAATGTAAACACATAAATAGATTGCATGTGGGAGCTACATAGGATGTATGGGAGCATCGGATGTGCACTGGCTTTGTGGAGCATGCATTAGGTATGGACATGAGGGTACGTGGAGTATATAGGCTATATGAGTGCATATGGGGTATGAATGGTATATACCACAGTGCATGGGGTTTATGGGGTATGTGTGGCACATAGGCATACATGAGCCATGTGCACCATGCACAGGGGTACATAGAGTATCTGGGGTGTGCATGGGTATATGGGCATATATGGGGTATGTGGAAGACATGGCTATCTGAGGGCTCCTCAGTGGGGAGTTGAGCAGTGTGGAGGACTCAGAGGGCCAGGCTGAGAGATTTCACCGTGAGGGCTCTGGCAGGCCATGGATGGTCCTGAGTGTGGTAGGCGATCCTATCTGGAAGGGAGTAAGAGGAGACAGCAGGTGAGGCTGCAGCAGTGGTCCCATCTGTGAGTGCTGAGGAGGGGATGTGGGGGGAACACTGGGAAATTCACACATGCTTAGCACAGGGCTGTGCTGGCATCCAGGAATTGCCTGAGACTGATGTCTGTTTTCGTTCTCAGGTAAGCTAGAGGTGCGGAGGGGAGGTGCTCTTTAGGTGCCTGTGAAGTCTGGGGCTGAGGTGGCGAGGGTCTGTGAGAGAGAAGGGATGTGGTGGTGAGCCTCTCCTTCCAGACATGTGTTCTGCAGATGCTTGTGATCTGACATTGGCCACCCTCCTCCCTTGGAGCCTTTCTGGGCCTCTGGACCAGGCTTCAGGATGAGGCTAGTCTCTAAAGCTAGTTTAGCTAGTCTCTAAAGCTAGTTTTTTATATTAATCTGGGCTTCATTTATTGGGAGCAGTGATGACTACCGTGCCGTGAAGAGACATTGAAACTCCCAGTGCAGTAGAAGCAGTGGCGGCTTGCAGGGGGAGGAGCTCTTTGAACAGAGGCCCTTGTGACTGGAGCCAGTTTAGGGGGGCAGCCCTGTGGGTAGATGCTGACAGACACCAGTCTGGCTAGGCTCTCGTGTCTGGCTGCACGACAGATTTGGAGGAAAAGGGTGGGTGGTGAGGTTGTGAGAAAAGCAGCAGTCCTTCAGCTGTGGTCACAGAGCTTCTGACACCAGCTTCCACACTTAAGCCTCCGCTCAACAGGTCCTGAGCCTACAGCCTGTGTCACATGTGAAGACCAAAGCAACAGGATAGCCCAAGTCCTTCAGTGACTCCATGGCATAGCAAGGATTTGAATTCAAGACTCTCTGCCCTTGGGGCGGACACTGTTTTCTCTGAGTCTCCGTAGAAAATATGAAGTAAAGGGTACGTGGTGGCCCAAGCAAACATGAAATGTAAGGCCACACAGCAGGCTCCAGGCAGTACCACACTCGTGCAGGACATGCCCACCGATGCACACACAGCTCTTGTGCCACCTGTCTTTATGATCAGCTCTCAACTAACTGCTCACTTGGCCTAAAGCAAGGTTCCTCCCTAGCCTAGCATGCCACTAGCATAACAGGGAGCCAAGGCCAGCAATTGCCCTCCGCTCCTTGGGGGCCATTTGTAACTCTACTCTCTGTTCACCCCTCAGTGCTTCCAGCTTTTGATAAAGGCATTGAAATCAAGCAACCTGAAGCCGGGCGCAGCGCCACACGCCTGTATTCTCAGCATTCAGGAGGCAGAGGCTGCTGATCTCTGTGAGTTTGAGGCCAACATGGTCTACA